AAACCATGGGCAAAAGAGTATTTATCATCTAATTATTAAACAATCAACTAATAATAGTGCAGCTACTAACCTATTTTTTATAACCAATCACTTATCAACTATTAATTATTAATTCTCAATTATCAATAATCGATCATATTATCAAATCTCAAAATATCAATATAATCTCCCAACAATACTATTCAAATTAATTAATCTATAAATTTTAAAAATAGTCCACATTATTTCAAACATGTTAAAATTTCAGCTATTGCTTTATTAAAAATGGTTATGCATGCTAGATCAGGTGGTAAATTAGAAGTTATGGGTATGTTAATGGGTAAGGTTGAAAACAATACAATGATTATTATGGATTCATTTGCTTTACCAGTTGAAGGTACAGAAACTAGAGTAAATGCTCAAGTCGAAGCTTATGAATATATGGTCGAATATCTCGAACTTATTAAACAAACTGGTAGACTCGAAAATGCCTTAGGTTGGTATCACAGTCATCCAGGTTATGGTTGTTGGTTATCAGGTATCGATGTTGGTACCCAATTAGTTAATCAACAATATTCTGAACCATGGTTAGGTATTGTAGTATGTATACAAATAATTCTGGTCATATTCATAATAATATGTGTTATTTATTAACAAACATTTATTGTATATAGATTGACCCAACTAGAACAGTTTCAGCAGGTAAAGTAGAAATTGGTGCATTCAGAACATATCCACAAGGTTATAAACCACCTAATGAAGGTCCATCAGAATACCAATCAATTCCATTATCAAAAATCGAAGATTTTGGTGTTCATTGTAAACAATATTACTCTTTAGAAATTTCCTACTTTAAATCATCATTGGATCAACAATTACTTGATAAATTATGGAACAAATATTGGGTCAATACTCTCTCTTCATCACCAATCTTTAGCGTAGATATCAAATTAAAATTTTGTTATTTCAAATATTATTTAACTAACCTTTTTCCTTATTTTTAGAATCGTGAATATATTACCGGTCAAATTAATGATCTCAGTGAAAAATTAGAACAAGCTGAAACCCAACTCTCAAATACAAGATCAGCAGCATTATCAGATAAAAAGAAAGAAGAAAGTTTACTCTCTAAAATTAGCAAAGATAGGTAAGTAATATTTATTACTTTTTTTTATTATTATTATTATATTATATTTTCATTGTCAATTTTATTTTATAAAAATAATTTTTATTTCAGTTAATTTAAAATTGGTTTTTTTTTTTTTTTTTTTGAAAATAACGGAACAATTTGTCAATTACTTCACCATAATATACATTAAATTTTCGTAATTATTCTGTGCATTTTCACCCCATGCCAAACACTCAGTCGCATTGCTACAATCTTTTTTCACTTCGTTAATTTTTTATTTTTCAGTTTTTCGAAAAATAATTTTGTTTTGCCTTTGTAATTTTAAAGAGATTATTATGGATTTTTATTTTATTGTATTTTAAAATTTTAAAAAAATCATTTCATTTCAGAATAGTTTTTTATTTGTACAGGTGCAAAAAACCATAATATTATAAACAAAACATATGGTTTCTAGAAACAAAAATAATTTTTTTTTTTTATCGCGATAAAAAAAAAAAAAAAAAAAGTTTGAAGAATAGTATTTTAAAATATTTTTAGACCATTTAATAATAGTTAATATTATCACATGACACCATTCAAACTAATAACCTAGTTGTTGTATAATAAATAAATTACTAACCTATTTTTTTTTTTTACTTTAGTTCTAAAGTCACAATAGAACAGGTTCAAGGTATCATGTCCCAAGTATTCAAAAATTCAATTTTTAACGAGTCCCAAGCAGTTTCTAAATAGACACTATAATTAAAATCAAAAATAATAAAAATTAAACTATAATAAATAATCGATAATAATAGTCCTTTTATTTTATATTTTTATTTATTTTTTATTTCTATTTTTTATTTCTATTTTTATTTCTATTTTTATTTCTTTAATTTTTGTTTAATTTTTATTTTTACAAAAAAATTGCCAAATAAATTTCTTTTGATTTATTTTGCAATGTCTGAAAAAAAGCCATTATTTAATTGTGGTTCCGCCTGCGTTTTTAGAATTAAAAAAAACTCTGTGGTTTGCACATTTATGTGTCATGTTGTTTTTTTTTTTGATTTCCTATTTTTTTTTTGCGTAATCATTAACTATGCCACAATTCCCTATCAATGGTAATAGAGCAGATGGTTTTATGAATTATTACCAATAGTTTGATTTTACTAAAATTTAAGTGTGTTGTTGTTTGTTATCTATTTAGAGCTCTCATACCAATGTCCCAGATATTTTGAAAAAAAAAATTATCAAAAATAAAAAACTTTTCATTTTTTAAATGTGTATCTATTATGGTTGAGGGAGTGTCTTTTTGTTTTTTCAAAAAAAAAAAAATTATGTGATTTTTTTTTTTACGCATATTATTAAAAAAAAAAAAAAAATTTTAAATAAAAACTATGCAAAAAAAACTCTTGC